GAGTCTATTCGGGTGTTTGTCTCTTTCATTGATCCAACTCTGGGTGAGACGACTGACGAGTGGTTGCGATGACATGTTTGGCGTGAGTTGTGGTCAACACCTGTCGCACTAATGAGAGTCCAATGCCTCGATTGGCGCCTGTGATCAACACTATCTCCAAACTCATAGTAAGTATATTTAATTATTATAATATATAAACAATATTGAATATAATTTATAAAAATGAAAATACTGTATAGATATTAGGACTAACTAATGATTACTGCCAATGAAATGTGAGAATTATATGTATTTATATTACGATAAAAGTGTACTTAAATACAGGAATATGTTGAATAAGATAATTGTAATTAGAAACTGATTATGTATTAGCAGTGAACTTGAGATTGATCTTGGTTTATCTAATAATAACTACTTATCTTAATTTTAGTTGTCATTTATATTTTCAAGAAATTAATATATTTAATAAATAATATCCATTTTGAATGTTTTTGATTAAAAATTTTATTATTATAGTATAATAATTATACTAAATATTAGTTAAAGAATATTTCAGAAAATAAATTAATAATGGATAAATAATGCTTCAACTAGTGTTGCCAACCCTCCAGTTGTCGCCTGAAGTCTCCAGGAATCGGGAGTTCAACACAGACTTCAGTTTGAGGTCTGACCTGGATATGGGGAACTCCAGGAAAAAATTCTTAGCATTCTTAAAATAAAAATACATGTTTCTATATATCACTATAAATCAGTGAAGAGAGGATTAAGATTGGATTACCCGTTTTGGTGTAATCAATTTCTATAGCGTAAAGATAGTTAATTCCATGATTTATATCATATTATATAAATTATATATGGATGGGCTTATGCTATATCGCTGGATGTACGTAAAGCATGCAGACTGTAATCAGTGCATAAATAGTATACATTTAATATCAAAATATTTATTGCTTTAAATATAAACAAAACGGGAGTCGTTGATTTGACCTACGTTGATTTGACCTACAATGTCGCTATTAAATTTTTACCTCCAACACTCAACCCTACAACGGAATATCGGATTGAAGTCGGGTTTTGCATTTTTAGCGATATTCCGTTGTAGAGTTGAGTTTTGGGGATAAAATGCAAAAAAACTCCACTTCAATCCGATATACTATCATAGAGTGACCACTTTAAGCTAAAATTCAATTTTAACATTTTGTATATTGTAGGTCAAATCAACGTAGGTCAAATCATAGACAACCAAACAAAACATGACAACATTTCAATTAGTTTTAAACTAAATTACAGATAATTAATAGTAATAATGGACAGCAGTAAGTTTTTTACCAAAGTCTTGAACACAAGTGCTGGATCAGTTGATAAGATGATCTCTCTAACTGTTATTAATAACGAGGTGATTGTCAAATCAGGGGAAAAGGGAACCAAACGTAAAGAAGATCCAACTTATAAAGTATTTTATAAACTAATTCAAAATACAATTTTAATTGTGATAGTACGTAATTTATATGCATATTCATTACCGATAAATAATCTAAAATTTATATTATAATTGATTCTATATTTGCTTAAATGTAAATGCGGGTTTCTATAGCATTGCTTGCAGACCTTGTTTTTATATATCCTTAACAAATGTAAAATAAATATTTAATTAAATATCTAACGAAAAGTATGTAATTATTTACATAAGATTATATATAACTGAAAATACATTTGCTATTTCTATTAGTTATAATTACTTTGCTACATGTGTTTTTAAATAATTACAATACAATTAGTTAAACAACAATTATTTTGTCCGAATTAATCAAAAGTATATTTAATATATCGCTAATATTATAATAAAATGATAAATATCAATTAGTAATTTTATATAAATTTAACCCCTATATTAAAACTATTGTAACTACGCATAATTATACTGTTTCTAACTGAAATAATATTTAATTTTACAGTTATACTGTTGTTTTCAATTTAAAAAAGTGTAAGTCATTTTAATTTTTGCAATAATAACTTTATATTAATATGTTTAAAAAGATTATGTAATTTAATAATTACAAAATTGAATGATAAGCATCATTTTAAAAAGTCTACCACTGTTGAAACATTATTTATCAATTATTAATTTATTTTCTAGAATATTCTTTAACTAACATTTATTATAATAATAAAATTTTTATTCAAAAACATTCAAAATGGATATAATTAACGGATTAATTGTTTTAGCTATCACATTGATATCAATATACATTTATTTGTAAAATACTATTATAATTATTATAGAAATATATTTGTAAAACTGTTATTAATTAATTTTAGGTCAGTATGGCGTAGAAGTGATTACTGGTCTAAACAGGGCATTAATGGTCCCAAACCTCTACCAATATTTGGAAATATTATGAGCGTGCTAATTTCAAGTCAAAAGGATCGTCTACTTGGCTACCAAAAGAAATATGGCAAAATATACGGGTAAACAGGGTAAAAGTTTGGACAAACACATATTCCTATTGTATATTGTAGCCATTACATGGGAGGCATACCGGTGCTAAGGGTGGCCGACCCGGAGCTAATCAAATTAATTCTGGTGAAGGACTTCCACGTGTTCGTCGACCGGAACATAGTATGGGCGCCGAAATACTCGAACCGTACCCGCAGTCTGAACCAACTGTGCGGCGATGATTGGAAACGTGTCCGCTCTATCGTGACGCCTATTATACGCATATACAACACACCCTGATTATAATTAGATTTTTTTGTTACGCAAATTAATTATATAATAGCTAACTAAATAAGTTTTATATTAATATCAAAAAAGCAAAATACTAATTTAATGTTTTACTAATGTACATGAATGTACAATATTACAGCATTCATAATACAAAAAATACTACAATAATGTATATAAACTAATTATTTTTATACATTTACATAAAAAACTGTATAGTAATATCAAAATTAATTTATGCAATTGTTTTAATATGTGTTACATAATAGGTATCACTACCGATTTAAGTATTAGTAATAATTTATAACACTTACATTAATTAATACATCAAATGAAACTAAAATTGCCAAAGTTGTCGTTGTCAACACAAAATACATTAACAGTAAAATTATTACATAATAATAATAATCTAGACTTTTATGAATAACATTTAATTATTATAGTTTATTGTTTAAAAATTTTTGTAACCTTGACATATATTTTTACAATCAATGCTTATTTTTGAGTACGATTATGAATATAAGTACTTGCTAATTTGTCTAACCCCTCATTACTACCTAGCACACTATTTGTGCAATTATTATTTGATTGAATAATATGATGGTAATCATTAACATTACGAATGACCACAAACCGGGTGCTATAATACTGATTACATTTAGCGTACACTTTGACTACGGTTTCGGTGAACATAATGACAGATAACCCAAACCATAGACTCATAACACTCGCCATTAGACACATGTACTCCTCTAAAGTCATTTTATACGAGATCTCGTATATGATAGTCGGCGCCGACATTTGGGACACGTATATCGTATGAAGCTTTTTGTTTGAGAAACACATCCTTTCCAATCGATAGTACTCTTCGTAGCATTCAATCATTTTATAGCATTTATCACGACATGAATCCTCGTAAGCCTTAAAGTATGGTAAATGGCGTGCCATATAGTACTTGGCATCCATTGTCTTATTATAGCATAGAAGATCACCCGGGTACTTCGTAGTATTAGCCATAACATACATATTCACACAACTATTAATACAATCCTCACGAGTTTCGCCGTAAAGACATCTATTTCCGTTGGGTTTGTACTTCACATGGACTACCGTTTTATAAAACTTTACCTGACACTCCCACCACGCGTCCATAAAATTATCCGGATTATACTTGTACAATTTGCCGTAGTGTACGCTTAGATAGGGGGCTCGTATCCACGTATCATTATAACTATGGTGTAAATTTATCTTGATAACTGCTTTGCGGTTATTTAATGTAAACTTATCGTTCAAGTCGTGAGTATTCCGCGAGAATAACGTAAAGCAAAGCAATTTTGAATCCATTGATAATACATACGGCGATATAGCCTCGCAATTCATGGTGTCGTTACCAACAACACCTGTATGTTGAATTTGACAATCAACCCACTCACTCAGCTCCTGTATGGCGTCAAATTGATCCCGGATAGTCTTAGTTACCAATGTCTTCCAGGGTGAGTCAAAGTTAATATGCGACAGATTTTGAGGTAGTTTTCCGAGTAATTGCTCCAAAAAGTCAAGTTTTAATGACAGGGTTTTGTTGACACATATAGATATCGCCGGTAGTGATAGGCTGTCCTCCACTTCATACTTAACATTAGTGATGGTTTGGTATGAAAAGTATAGGTGACTTATTTCATACGCCTGGTAGACAAACCCCATAAGGCATAGAAGTCTACAGGTGCTCTTAATGATTAATTCAATTTTTAAAATAGGTTTCATAATTTAAATTATTATAAGTTACTTATGAATGTTTTATATTAGACTAGAGATTACTAACAGTTTTAATAAAATATATTTATAAATAATCAATATACAAAAAGTATTAGTACATTATGTTTACAGATACACCCTGAATATTTATTTATTTATTGATCCAACTATAATGAAACATTATATTAATTTGTTTTATTTTTCTATATCAAATACTGTATAATATATTTATTAATATTTTTGCGATATTTTAAAGATAATTAAAATAACATATTGTATTTAGTTTATATGGTTACATAAAATAATTAATTAATTTTTTTTACTAATCTGCTAATTGAAATATTCATGTAATATACTTGTAGTATGGTTGCATGCATTACTACTGATTTAATTATTTATGATTGATTTTTGTCTATTAATTTAATTTAATTTAGATTATGGTAATGATCGTATTGTTGTTAACAACAAATTTATTAATAGAAACATTAATGATGCTATATTAATATAATGTGTTACTAATTTGATTTATATTGAACAATAAAATTCATTTATAGTTGTTGTTGAAAACATTTATACAGTACAGTACTTATCGATAATATATTGCATATTTTATACTGGGAAGTGCTTAAATTTTATTAAAAATATATTACTTCAAAATCTACATAATACTCTAATATTAATAACATACTATTACATAATACAATAATATTATTATACAATAGACAATAGATAAATGTTAATAAGCACACTTGCATTTTGAGCTACCCTAATTATTTAATCAATCTCTTATATAATATAATTTTTAAAATAACTAAATAAAATATCATTGAGCTACTTTTAGAAATGATTGACATTTAATAATTAAGCATAAGCAAGGTTAATACAATAATTAAGGAATTTTCTCAATTCCGACAAAAACACGCTTCGGGTACACCATTTGTAGAGACCGTTGATATTGCAACGGGACGTCCGTTTTGGGAGTCCTGAAGAACTGATACTTCAATACCATATGAGCCATACATAGCTTGATCTGTAATAACCCGAATCGCATACCAACGCAATTACGAGGGCCGCCCCCGAAGGGCAGGTATGTATAGGGCTTAATGAGGTGTTTTTTCTCGGGCATAAATCTATCAGGGTCATACTTAAAAGCATCGGGATAATACTCATCGGACAGGTGTACGGCGTAGCCGGGAATTTCAATCTGTGTGCCGGCTTTCACAGTAATACCCGTATCGCCTAAATTATAGTCAACGGAGGGGTACCTAAACAGGGATAGGGGTGAGCCGTGCATGCGCAGGGACTCCGACACGACGGCATCCAAATAGGGTAGTCGTGCCAACACGTCGTACGCTATCTCATCGGTAGTGGCGCTGATAGCGCCTGTAATTTCGTCGCGTAGGCGGCGCTGACAGTCCGGGTTTAGGGCCAACTCGTATGTCGTGGACGCGAGTATGGTTGCGGTGGCCACAAAGGGGACGGACATGAATAGGAAGCCCTGGGCGAGGATCTCGTCTTCCGTCAAACGTTTGTCCCTAATCTTAATGTCCATCACTTTTCGCTCGACGGCTAACGATTCCTCGCCTTTTATTTTGTGTTAAAATTTTTATATAATTTTAAAATTATTTTTAATAAATATTAAATTAGTTATTTTTAAAAGTTTGTACAATTCTACCCGGATATTGAATATTAGTTATATGTTAAATGTAATCATTTAAAATTATTGAAATTAAAATATTAGCAATGTCACCAGCCTTTTGTAAATTTAAAATCATAATTATCTAAATTAACTTAAAATTATTTACACCTAAAATTGATTAATATACCTAAATATCATTTACATACCTTGATTAACATGATCAAGTTCGCTATTATCCTTATCATCCCGAGTGGTGGCACTAGCATCTCCAGGCTTCCTATCAGTTACTTCAGCATCCATAAGCATCTGAACAAAATCCTGATGCTTTTTACCCGGATTATCGCGTCTAGCTTTTAACATGTTTCGGATATAACCCTGGAAAAATTGATCAGCTTTTGTATCCGCTAAACGTATCAATTTAAGGACAAACTGTGGCAACACAAGTGACGCCATCTCTTTCCAGGCCTTAAACACAAACTTTTCTCTCGCGTGGATAACAAACGGGTGTTCACTAGTAGTGTTGCCATCTGTCGCCGATTTATACAAATTTAGTTTTGTAGCGAAAATTGTTGCAGCATTCATATCTAGCAAAAACTTGCTAAACGTTTCGAGCATGTCTAATTCTTGGCGATTTTCAGCCAGCACGTCTACGTAGTTGAGAAGTGACGCCAAACATTGCCTAATCTGAGGGTACATTCGCCGCAATTTTCCCGACGAGAAAATAGGCGTCACGATAGAGCGGACACGTTTCCAATCATCGCCGCACAGTTGGTTCAGACTGCAGGTACGGTATAACTTATATTGTCCTGTGACCTCGGGTTCGGCCGCAGTGACCACTTTTATAGAGAATATTTTCGGAAAAAATTCCAACATGTGACATATGAAATCAATGTGGAATTTAACGCAGAATAAGAATATTTTACTCAATTTAATATTAAAATAATATTTTAAGGTATTAATATAAAATTAAAAAATAATTTTTATAGAAATGTATTTTTCTTATGATATAAACGTTATTTATGGACGAAAAAAATGAAAATATATTTTAAACACTTCATGTCAGCAGATGATATGAAAAGGCAAATTAATAATTTTAAAAAATTATATTATTAGGAGGGCAAGAACAAGAATACCAAGCGACATTATGCATTGGCAAGAGTGATTTTTGGGGTTGGTGGTGGGATTGTGGAGGACAGTGAAGGTTTGGGTGGAATAGGGGGGTTGAGAAGTTATTATATTTTTGACCAATGGTCATGTATTTGATTTTTAAATAAATATGTGCAATATTGGATTATTTGGTAGTTTAATATTAATTTAAATCAGTAAATATTAATATAATATTAAATACAGTAAAATATTCTTATTCTACGTTAAATTTCACATTGATTTCATATATCATTTGTTGGTATTTTTTCAAAAAAAATTCCCGATAAAAGCGGTCTTTGCGGCCGAATCCAAGGTCACAGGACAATATAAGTTTCATATTCGGACTCAGGGTTAAATGTTCTATAAAAATCTATCATAATATCCCGGGTGCCAGCTTAGGCCGAATCCGACCGTATCCTTTAATATTTTTATTTATGAAAATGATAATTAATATAGAAATCTTTGAAACATAAATATTTGTCACAATAACTGCATTTTATAAAAACAACATCATTGCAAACTTCACATAAATTATCATTAAATTCAAATAAAATGTCGTAAATATTTAATGAATTATAATCAATTGGATTATTGTCTAAACTATCCCAGGCTTTTTTAAAGAAATTAGTAAATATATCACTATTAAATTGATTAAATATTAAACTCCAAAGTTTACAAATGTTATTCCTTAATGTTAAATCGATGTCAATATTTTCCAATATTACGAAATCATGTAACGTTTAGAAACACATTTACAATAACGGAATAATCCAACATCACATGGCTGAATTAAATCTGTAGTTTTTGGTGGTATAGTAAGCCGTTTTAAATTAGTATTATTCTCATAAATATTGTCATCCATTTGCCCGGTATAGGAGTCGAGAAGTAAAAGGCACTTTTCTGTCATATACGGTTTAAAGACATGTTTATACCTAGGTCATTTAAAAAATAAGGTTTAATTATGATATATAATATTTTTAGTTTATTTTTAAAATGCATATTATTAAAACATGCTAAAATTTATAGTATTTACCAAAACATCATACGTGATTTTGTCATATTTCCCGATTTACTACACGTGTATATTATATTATCGTAGTCATCAATGTTTTTCACAACCCGTACCCCTAAATGACCTTCAGGAAAATATGTTTCTTGAAAACATATTAGGATTTTAGGATAAAATTTTCCAGTTTTCATAAATATAGGTAATATTGTATAAGAATGTGTGCAGTCATTTACAGAATTTACTACCAATATAGTAGTCCGTTCACCAATATNTTAGGATTTTAGGATAAAATTTTCCAGTTTTCATAAATATAGGTAATATTGTATAAGAATGTGTGCAGTCATTTACAGAATTTACTACCAATATAGTAGTCCGTTCACCAATATCTGTTAAAGTACGATACCTAGATACTCATACTATCCCAGTCAGAGCTAATATACTATGAATTATGTTATGAATGAATTTATTGTAAAAGTTTTATAAAGTTTTTAAGCGCTTGATTTGGATGTCGGAAAAGTCACCACCGATTTGGTCACTTAAGACATTCCGCTAGATTACAAGACCTAGATATTATTATTATACCATGCTAAATGTTTATAAATCAAGCTGTTTTAATCGCATTATGTAATAACAATTCCCGTTAACGCATTGTTAGTTATTAAAACTTATCTCAAGTAAATTTTAATTATTGATAAATAAAATATGTTAATCAAGGTAAGGTATTAACATGTAAAATGATTTCTAAATAAATTTAGTTTACAATAGACATTAAGTAATAATCTAGGTATTAATTAGAATTAAAATTACAGTAATAATAATAATTAGCAAATTGCATCCGGGCATTTGTTTTGCACCCAATTCCCACCCCTCATACGAATACGTCATTTATGTTTGGCTTTCATTCAAAACAAACATTTGTGTGACTGAAGTGCTGGTGATTTGCCAATCGGTTCACTCGCTCTTGGATTGTCACCGCAATGGTATCGCCACTGTTCCCATCGTTGACACCGCGCTATATGGACTGCCACTGGTTCCAAGTGGACAAACCCATGGACGAGGAGTTGGAGCTGAGCCTCATGGAGAAGGAGCACTGCTCGCAGCTGTCGGAGATCAGCTCCAGAGACAATGATCTGTTGCCCACCGGACAGACGCACGACTTCGGCGAAGAGGAGGAGGAGGACGACGACAACGAAGACGATGACGACGACGACGACGACAATGAAGATGATGACGAGGACGACGATCTCGAGGCCGACGACATTCAGTTCAATCCCGACTCACCGGTCGTCAATTCGCCACACTTTTGATCCCTTCATTGGATTCATTGTCTTCGCCACTAAGTCATTGAGAGTTGAGTTAACCATTCATTGAGACAATTGTCTTGTATTGCAAAATATTTTTATTTTAATAAATAGATTCAAAAATAAAAAACTTATAAATTATTGCTTTAAATATATTAATCCTTTGAGACATTCACTACAAAAACTTTGTATAAAAAGTAAAAATAGATTTTAATCGTAAATAAATGGCAATCAATGGTTGATTAAGACCCCGTTTGGATCAATCATCCAACGGATTGGGTAAGCCTTTAATCCAGTCTTGGAGTGCATTCCAAGTCTTTAGCCACAACTGGTCCTGAAATTGTTTGTTGACAGAGAAGGCGGACGAACGGATTATAGCGCAGTCTTCGAGATATTTGCCTCCAATGCCCTCTAATTGCGAGGAAAGGGTGGCGTATAGTATGGTCTCCGCGCCTTCTTTTGATGTCTATTCAACGTAAACACAAGAACTCATTAATAGATCGCAAATCAACTCAAGGAAACCATGAATACTAACTCTGAAGAGAGCTCTGGCCAGAGAGGGCACGATCTTAACCCACCAGACGTGGAGGTAGAGCTCAGTTAAGGCCACCCCGGGGTGTAAGGCATTGACAGTCACGTGTTGGCCGTACTGGTGGTGAGCGGCCAACCAGTGGTTCAGACTATATGTGAACATAATTTGGCATAACTTTGACTGCGCGTAGGCGTGAAAGGGAGAGTAGATCTCTTGGGATTGGAGGTCATGGAGGCGCAGGTCTCGCGCGTAATGAGTGGACGAACTCACGTTCACAACACGCGACTGATGGCCACACTTCTTGGCCGCGGCGGCCATCGCTGGCATCAGTGCCCACACCAGCAGACAGTGACCCAAATAGTTGACCTGAAAATGAGACTCAAAGCCATCGTCGGTCATCTTCTTGGGCGCGAACATAATGGCCGCGTTGTTCACCAGATAGTGAAGACCAGTGACTCCCGAGGAGTGAAATTTGTCCACAAATTCTTGTACGGATGTCAGTGATATCAGATCCAAGCGCCAGATCTCTAGTTTACCGATTGTCTCGTTGTTTACGTTCTCCTCCTTCACTTTGGCTAAGATTTTGAGTATCAATTGGTCCACAATCTCCGAATTGGCTGAACTGGCGATTATCACATGACATCCCTTCAGTAGCAAAACGATGGCCACTTCGAGACCAATACCTCGCGAGCCGCCCGTAATTATGGCCACTTTGCCGTCCAATCGCTTCGGCAGATCCTCGTCATCGGGAGACAGATGGCGAACAGCGGACACCAATTGGCACTTCCGGTTAAGCTCTTTGAGGACATATATGGCGCCCAATATATACAGATGAATGGCTGTCCACAAGACATACACGACTTCTTGGAGTGAATGCCACGATAGGATCATTTCGTAGATGTAATGGTTGGCTCACAAAATAGCTGCAAAAATGGATCAGATTTAAACACACGATGGTCACTGAATGGCTCAACAATTGGTCAGTCAAATGGTGAGCACTTGATCCACGACTTCACTAAACAGATAACCCATAAAGTGATGAACTTTTGAAATACTTTTCCCTTTGAAATCCTATTTCACACATAAATTATGTCCTTTTTATTACATAATATGATACTTTCTGTAATTTTACAAAATTGTCACAAAGTTTTTCGTTAATTACTATTAACCGGTAATAAAGTTTTAATTTTAGTACAAAATTAGTTTCAAAATATATATATTAATAATTTGCGTTCATTTAAGTAGTGTTTAGATTGGCGTTAGTTTTTGTTAGAGATTTATTTTGGCAATTAGTAAATTAGTAGTAAAAAAATATAATTTTCTGAGATTATAGTCCTCGTCTGTCATCATCAGATTCTTCCTGTTCTCCAGTCTTCATGTCTTGCAGCGGTTCCGACAGTTTTCTAGGCAATTGTCTCCGGTTCCAGTTTCGATCTCTGCGGCAATCGATCAGACATTTAAAGACAATTAACACGAATAGCAGACAAACAACGGCCGACACAATGATTATGACATTCGTGTCGAGAATCCAATCGAGAAGGCAATACTGGACGGGACTGTAGGCGTCGGTGGCGTTGGTGTAGTCGACGCGATAGAAGTGGAACTGGAGGTCAATAGTGGACCGAAATACGGGCACTTCGTTGACATACACCACGTCTTTGAGAGTGGACTTCCAGTTGTGAGAGCACTGGCGGCTGTAACCGGTGGTGATGCGGCCCAACACATGGGATTCAGTGGTGCGAAGACAGTTGTTGGCCGCCAACACGTCCACGTCTTTGCTTCGGCAGTACCGCAGCAGACAGTCGATGGGCTCAGAGCACAACACCTCGAAGTACTTCATGTCCACAATGATCGACATGTCTGAGTGGATGTCGATGCCTAAGGAAAGGCTCATTTGTCTGCCGGTGGCGTTGGCGTTGAATTTGTAGACATGAGTGACTGGTATTGATTCGGAGTAATCGCAACGAGTTATCTGTGACTTGGAAGCGCTGGGAGTGATCTCTTGGAATGTATGGCCACTGAATGTCTCGTTGAATGGTTTGATAGCAATGGTGGCCTCGAAGTCCACCAAAAGGCACGTCTTCTCACTGAGTGAATCCAACCCAATGTTTGTCTTATTTATGGGCAGATCTGTGGACGAACTCAATACTGGACTCAAATCGGTGTAAATGAGAAGTAAATATAAAAATAGATTCAGTCTTAAGAAGTCTTTTGTCACAATTGGTCTCATTTTGGGCACACGTTATGCTCAATACAAGTAATACATTAGTAATACTGGGAATGCATTTGAGATTCAAAATGAAATATCAATTTAATTATCGCCTAATCGTATGCATAGTCTATTGAATGCATCACTTTGTTTGCTAACTATTACTATGAAATACTAATACTAACTATGAGTTCACAACCAAATGTATTCAATATTCAAACATAACAAACATTTCGGTGTCATTTGATGACAACTCCGTAATACATATAATATTGATTTCAATGCAATCATGCAATCAATTAACAAATCAAATAAATGCTACGAAAAAACAAAGTCTTTTAGACTCGACGTATGTATGAGTGGTGTTGTTGTGACGTAACTGTGATTTCAATACAAAAAACACATTTAAATATTTGCACACTTGTTATGCACGCATGCGCTCAACACTACACCACTGTTTGTAAACAAAAGTTTTTGGCCGCAAAACAAAACGCTAACGAATTTGAGTTTCAAATAAATCAATGTTTGCATTCATTTGTTGCCAATTCAATGATGTTTGACTGGGAGTCCGGTGACGGACATACACATCCCGATGATACAGACAAAGACTTTGATCCCATTCATCCAGTCCTATGCCATCCGGAGCTCATGAGTAGAAAACAATTACACGATTTGTTACAAAAGGTTTGCCAAAAACAGATAACATTATGTCATTAGATATGACAATATATTTGTTATGCGTTTATATTAATGGTATTAAATATGAGATTATATTTATTTGTTTGTGTTTTGTCTACACTCTTAGCGCCACTGGAGTCTACCGGAAGAGCTGGCTGTGAATGGCTATGAATACTATAATTTAATTGATTTATACAACAGAGTATTACTTCCGTTACCACAGCGAAGGTATGGAGACAATAGACAGTCCACTCACTTAAAGGCCAAACAATTGGATTGCAATCAGAGTTTTGCGCTCAAGAGGAAGAGCGATGAGCTGACCGCCAGTGCCGACAATAGCAGCGCTAAGAAAGTGAAGACAATTAGTAGTGATTGTTGTGATAATTATGAGACAAATGGCAAACGAAACGCAACACACGTCTCGCAACAAACTATTGATAATAAACGGCACAAAATTTCGTGGCCTTAAGGGTCACTGAATTAGCGTTCAGTTATAGTCATATAATAGACGATAATTATGTTTCGACATTCACTTTGATATATATTTTTTATTTTGTTTAATAATGTTTTAAAATTCATTGACTGTTGAGATTAATGTATAAATTGACAAATTTGTACAAAAAAGTCAATTAAAAACAATCACTAAAAAATAGACGTTTCGTTCATTTGTCACTTTTATTGTCGTTGTCTTGAGGTTTACTTTTGTCCGACTCGTCGATGATATACTGCAAGAGATCGCTGAGCGAAGCGAACTCTGTCCTCGAGTTTGTGGGTTCAGTGGGTGTGAGTCGAGGCAAATAAGTGCCCACTTTGTGGCGAAACTCTTGTAACTATTATTCAAGAAATATGAGATATCATTGGTTTTGGACAGTGAATGGTTGAGACAATACTGACATCGTTGACACCCATCGCCTTCCAGACAGTGAAGCACAAGAGGCCAAAGCCAGTGCACGCATACACTGTTCCCCACAACAGAGCCCTCATAGCCAGTGATCCGCCACTTTCGGTGCCAACCGTTTTCACGATTGATATACCCTTTCATTGATATGAGAGTTGAGTATTGCGTTGAATGGCAATGAGTGCAATGAAAACCTTATCGAAAGCGTTGACGTCTTTCTTCTTGGCTGAAGACAAGGCCGAAGAGAAGCCAAACAGAAGACCCGCTCCCGAGACGCACGACATGAATGCTATCTCTGAAAGACATGAGATTACGGTATCAATTGATGGCATATATCCATACAAATACCCAAATATTTATGTTTTCTGTTGACTTCTTTCGCGCCAATCGTGTCGTTGGTGTCGATATGTGTCCGCAAACTATTGTCCGACTCATTGTCTGTCTTCAAGTTTGCCATTAAAACGATTTTCTCATATTTAGGACTAGTTTTGGGCAATGAGTTGATAAGTATGTGATAGAAATGATGAGAAAGTGTCGCTTAAATAGTTCATAGACTGAGTGTTAGAGTGAATCAAACAAATGAATTACCGGTAAATGAGTGCATGTTTTCAATACAATCACATTATGTAATGATTGCATAACTGAGGGAATGAGCCAATAGATGGCACTCTTATTATAATACTTTGATATGTAATTGAAAATAATTTTGAATTTAAAATTCACAAAAGTGTCAAATATGTGGTCAAAAAGTGATAGTTTTATAATTAGATGCACTGATGGCTCGCATTGGTAAGCTATACCGGTATTACAATAATCATACGAATGGTGTGGGACTTAATGATGAGCTGAGCAGCCATTGTATGACTGCTTACCTATACTTCAATGTAAAGCCAATTGAGTGAAGAGTGATCAGAGATTTGCAGAAAGGGATTCACCGTTGAAAAGGCCGTAACTGACACAGTGGTGGGGCTAACAGTTAACCCATTATAGCGCGTGTGCAGCGAATGTGTGTTTGCAATGAAAATCCATTTTTTGTCATAAAAAACAATATAAATGTTCGGATATTAGAGGCTATCATATGAATGGGATATGCATTGACTGAACGTATGAGTGAATGAATGCTGCGATCAGTGCATCAAAACAATGAAACCCATTGATTGCCAATTGATTTGTCATTATTTGTCATTCACTTTAATCCAGTGATCATTTACACGTCGATAAGCAATTAATGTCTCATTAGACGTGATGTTTATTAGTAGTATTTGACATAATATTTGAGTACTTATCGAGAAATTGTAATATTATTTGCACTCATATTTGAATTTCAATTTTTTCAATTTGTTTTGTCAATTAATTTATTTTTATTTTTTACTCAATTTTTTTAATTCAATTGTTTTTTAAATCTATTTATAAGTGTTTTTTGAATATCGCTATTAAGTTATCAATTAATTTATTGATACAAAAGTTTTTTATATGTATTTGTGATCCAAACGAGTCTCTAATGAGTAGTAATTAACGCGAAAAGCAATGAAAACATGATTTTGTCGTAAAAAGTGTGAAATGTATTGAAAAGTAAACAAACATTTGGTTTCCGACGTAAATGGTTACGAAATGCTGGCATAAGAGGCATAACACTCACCACTGACTGACACATACCTCACAACCCGATAATACCAGATGTCTTCGTCGTCACCACAATCTCTCACATCCATTGAATTGATTACAAGAGACGCGAAGAGCAAGAAAGGCATGCATTCGTCGGCCATCAGTCCGTCGATGTCTCCGTCGGCGGCGCCCATGTCTTCGGCGGCCAACGACCGCCACAATCACAACCATAACCACAACCATCAGAGCGGCAGTGGTGGCAGAGCTGATGGTCGCTCATCGAAAACGAAGTCCCGGTTCCACAAGAAGAAGTACCACATCTTCCCCGGAAGGAACCGCTTCTACTGCGACGGCCGCATAATTATGGCCAAACAGATCTCCGTCTTCTACTTCACCATCTCTCTAATCATAGCCACGTGTGCGCTCTTCTTCGTCTTCGAGTACGTCTCCGCAGTCTTACTGTCCATTCATTTGTTCCCACTTTCACTCACTTTCTGTCTGTCTGTCTGTCTCTCTCTCCCCCAACAGCTGTCCATATCTTGCGTCCCAAATAAGTCCAGCGATTCCAGCGGTGGCCGCTCTTCTGTTCGTATTCGTGTTGTGCACTCTATTGCGGACCAGTTTTACAGACCCGGGTATTATACCGCGCGCCACACCCGACGAGGCGGCAGACACTGAGCGACAAATTGGTATTTAGATTGTGATGCAATTGATTGAGTGTTTGACTGAATTGTTTGCGTCATTTGCGAGCAGAAGTGCCCAATGGCTCAAACTCGCCCACATATAGACCCCCTCCGCGCACCAAAGAGATTGTGATCAACGGACAGACCCTTAAATTGAAGTATTGCTTCACGTGTAAGATATTCAGACCTCCGCGGGCTTCGCACTGCAGTCTATGTGACAATTGCGTCGGTATGTGATTATTGGTGAAACAATTGAAATGATAGTTATTATACCGGTAATACTGTATTACATGAATTTGTTTTATGTTTTTCCATACAGAGAGGTTCGACCACCACTGCCCATGGGTTGGCAACTGTGTCGGCCGCAGAAATTATCGATATTTTTATATGTTTATCATGTCTTTAGCGCTTCTCTGCGTTTTCATATTCGCGTGTATTATAACTCATCTCATATTATGTAAGCGTTTTGTATTACCGTATTTTTGTGAGAAAATGAACTCATTTTTGTATTCATTGCGATACGTGTGGTGTAGTGTCGAAGGGAAAGTCGCTGTTGGACGCGGTGAAGGAGAGTCCGGCCAGTATTGTGGTCGGCATTATCTGCTTCTTCAGCGTGTGGTCTATACTGGGTTTGGCCGGCTTTCACACATACTTAACCACATCCAACCAGACCACCAATGAAGACATTAAGGGCTCCTTCTCCTCGAAGCGCAACCACTCAGTGAAGAACCCGTTCTCCAGAGGATCCGTATATAAGAACTGTTGTGTCGTTTTGTGCGGACCGAGCGCTCCGAGGTATTCATCGATTTGTAATTGTTGTCATTTATTTGGCCGTAATTTTGTGATACTTTTGCTTTCAGTCTACTCGATAGTCGCACTCCTATTAGCGATGAACAATACCTATCGGCCCAACGGGCCCGTGATCTCAGTCGACAGCAAATATCGCAGCCCCGGCCCAGTCGTACGGACGTGAGTTCCTCTCAAAACGCGTCGATAAGCCCTCCGCCCAAAACACCTACCGGTTCACTGGGCTCGAAGTCAATAGCCGATCAATACCTGTATCAGCAACAGCTGTACCATAACCAACAGCATCAACATCAGCACCAACACCAACAGCCCGCTCCTTACCCACAGCAGCAACAACAGCAGCAGCGAGTGCTACACCCGACCAAACTGGTGGGCCAACAGCACCCGCACCAGACACAACTCACCAAACAGATGACATCGAACCCCAATGTGGCGAACAGTACGCCAGGAGTTAACGGCGATTACAACTCTTTGCCCCGAAATCCTAATCAACAGCATTCACATTATGGTACGGATATTGATAACACGAATTAGACTTTAGTTTTTCACTCGTTTTTAGGTTTATTTTGTATTTTGCTAACTACAGTATTAGTCTTAAACCTTTTTATGAACTGTTTTTTACATTTTAACTAATTTATTAAATTTTTAATTTATTTTTCATTTTGTTTTCTTTTTTGGGTTCCTTTGTGTTATTGAATATGAAATGAATTTCATATCTCCTTTGCTCGCATTTCTATGTTTGCATACATTATTTGACTTTTTGGTTTGCATTTACTATTAATATTCTTTGGATCGATTTTACTAATGGTTTTGGGCACAGTATCCATTTGATTCACATATAAGTGATGAATTGCACTTTTCATTTGTCATTTTAATGGTAACATTCCCTAAATGGTCTCTTCCGACCTCTTTCTCTGTCTATCTCTTCCAGTATATCGAAGTAATGTCTCTTCACATCCCTTTCAATAATAACATAAATTCTTAAACAAAAATTAATTGATACCCAAAAAATCCAGAACTTTGTGTGAGTATTGTTTTGCTTTTACCAGTAGACCACAACTGGTGAATGAGTGGTGAATATAATTGTGGTTCGCGTTGTAATTGTATTTTGTGTTGACTTTTTGAATGCACAGGTAATGCCAGCAGCAAACCGAAGCCAAACTATTATACGTTGAGTCGATTGCCGTCGTATCAGATAATGAATCAATTGTGCGAATCGTATGACAAGGATCTGGTGAACAATTTGAAGAGTGGTTCGCTCTCTAGAAGTCATCACAATATAAGTTTAGTGTCGTATATGAAACAGAGTACAGTCTGAGGCAACTGTCCGCTACTTTACCAGTTATTGTAATAAAAGTACAGTATTAATATATTAGGCTAACAAACAAATTAATGCTAATTATTATATAATAATTATAATTGTTTTTACAATTTATTAATATTGAGAAACAATACAAAGCAAACAAAACTCGATTCGATATTGTGATCGAAATATTGATAACTTTATACAAATTGTGAGCAAATTTTTTGACTCAATTGTTGTGTTTATAATTTTTTCCATTGATTTTTATACCCCAGTATTGAGTGCAATTCAATTGAATCCCAAACCAAATTGTTTTATCATTTTATCTAAAATAATTTTACTTTTTACTTTTAATACGATTTTAAAAACTATATTCCCTTACGATTTGGTTCTTCACTGATTCATTGCTCATAAGAAACTTGTCGTTAATATTTCTAATCGTTTTCGTTTTTGTCACTATTCTATACCTCATTTTATATTTGTTATAATTTTGTACCCAATTTCCAATCCAACTATTTGTATGATTTAACTGTAACTGTCGGCTAAACATGATATCCAACGAAGCGATCTGTGGTTAACATAAGAAAACTTTTCTATTCTGTGCATTCAAATTAAGAAACAAATTGTTGTAATCCGACATAAAAATTACTTATAAATTGAATTTTAAACCCAAAAAACAAATTTAATGCAAATAAAGTGTATATAAATAAGAAAAATATGCGTTGAAAAACATGTTTTGGCTATTAATCGATTTAATGTATCATTTATTCCTCACGTGAAACCCATTGCATTCCTATAGATAATGTGATAAATTGTGTTGTTTTTCATATATCGTCTCAAAATTGTCTGAAAAGTTGTTTTGATAACTACTTTTACTATTATTCAATACCAAACCCTATATCTAATTCCCGTAAATGTGTTACGAATACTAAGAATTGGATTATTTTTCTTTACACTCCCATTAGTTTTTAGTGCGTTTATTAAAAATAGTTTTGTCACTCAATGGGAAAATGTTTTATAAATTGAAATTAATTTATGAATTGACAGATATATTCGCCAAACATTCCGTGAAAAATGGGTTTATTTTAGGAAATTACTGATGAAAACGAGTTTAGCACTCAATTTATTCATTGATGTATAGATATGCTTTTTATAGATATTCATACCTATTTTAAAGCCTTTTTTTTAATGAATCCATGAGAGGTTTATAATATTTATAGAAAATTAATTTGAGTGAAATTCCTAATCAACAAACTTTCCCTAATAAAAAAGGTCACTTGAATAGCCAATTCAGAATAGGTAGACTATTACAAGAGATTTGACTTTATTTTGAACACAGTGTTGGAGATAAGTTAAGAATCGTGTGAATAGACCACATGAGCCACCTTTATACCGTAAATATTTTTGTATATCTAGTAGAAATTTTCTACTGATTATAACCCCTTATTTGATACCCCTTGGCAAATATATCTCGATTTACCAAAAAAGTTAATCAGTTTTACATAGAAATGGTATATGAAAATTTAGCAAATAAACAAATGGCTAATAAATTGCCAAAGGAATGATACTTTCATATAAATGATTAGTTATTTTGATAACGAAATTTGTTATTCAAAACTAAATTCTGGTTTTAAATCCAATTCCAACCGGAATTGAATTGAGAGCTGGAAGTGAGAGCTCTCTGTATAGCTGTGGTGGTGGGGAATGACATGCGCTTAAATAGGGTACAAATGAATGGCAAAAACACATTCTGTAGCCAATTGTCTATGTATTTGGTTGTTGCGAGTGATTTGTCTTTATGGTTAGGGATTGGTAGCACTCATATGGCATGAGATGTTGTGCTGACACGCGTGGACTCTCAGAGTGTTACCATTGGATGTGTTGCGCAATCCTCGAGACAAGTATTACGACATTAGGCAACAAGTATTGGGTATTTTCAATGCCAGACAACAGACAATATTGAGGTATAAATGGTTTGTCGATGCGAGAGATCAGTGGAGAAACACGTATTGCCATCGCATACAACATATCAGACAAGTGTTGAATGTGTGCCAAAACAGTACAAAATCCTATCGTATAAGCCGTTCAATAGGATTGTTGCAAATAAATGCTAAAAACGTTCACATTTTCGCTGATAATTGTTATCAAATATACTAATCGTTTAATTATAAAATTTCAAATATAAATATAGATTTTTTGCCATAAATGTAGTAAACGACTCATACGATCAGGAGTTTTGTTTTCTACTGATTAGTTATTTAGACCAGAATTTGGATGTTGTAGTTAATATACATTGAAACCATTAATAATCACCCGAATTAGCCGGTTAAGTCAATTTAATAAATAATAACACCTTGTAATAAACAAATACAACACCAATAATCAAGTGTCAGAAATGGATAATTTAGTTATGAATAGCTGTATACCAGAAAGCAATCAATACGTGAACCAGAATTGGTTTCAACAGCACTTACCCTTCAGTAATAAAAAACTGTATGAAAAGTAAGTGATTATTAACTTTTGTTTAATTAATTTGTTTTCTCTTCAAAACAATTACATGTATTTGTCATTTGCTCTGCAAATACATTTCAGTGCATCAGAACTTGTGTATAATTATTATAAATTGCTATTTGAACGCATAGTATGTGAATATTCTGTAAGGAATTTATGCTCGCAAAGTGCAGTATAGTATCGATTTCTTTATGTAATAACTATTAATAAAACATAAGATGTAAAACGTGTCGTCAAACTAATTATCTAGTATTGCTTAATATATATATAAATTTTTAAAGCTATTTGTAGTAATTATGTAGTAAATTAATTTTGATATACTTTGTACTGTATATACCGTTATATCATTATTTATTTATGTTTTAATGAAAACAGCTTATCATACATTTAATTAATAAAATTGTCATAATATTCACATTTTATTGAGAAATAATGTTACTTATAAGAATATTTGAAATTTTATACCAAATGTGAATCATTTGTAATACTGTACAATCCCTTTTGCCGGTGTAGGGAAATGCACTTTCACCAAATGTCTGCCTTATCGATTTTATGAGAGTTGCCGGTATATTTAATAATGTATTTGTTTTCAAAATATGTGAAATCTGTTTAATATTAATATTAGTATTTAGAAAGTGACCGTGTTAAACTTTCTACTGATGCTTAAACGAATATGATTTTAGCATACGAATTATGTGATATTTAGCAAATTCAAAATAATCAAAACCATTACTAATTCTTGTAATTTAGCTATATTAGAAATCACATTTAAACTACAATTGCACTAAATAATTGTTTATATAACTGTATATTGTATTACATGTGCATTACTTGATTACATGATTTTCATAGATTGATAGAATACTGTACACTACTGTACAGTATAAGCAATTGATTTTTCAACTACTTTATGAACTTTGATATAAAGTTTAATATATTCTGTATATATATAAAACTGTGTTCACAAAAACAATTTTTTAATCGCCTGTTCAGTTCATAACATTCTTATATAATTTTATGTATTTTAAGCAAACATTTCTCAAATTATCAGTTAATTAATCATATTTTTGTGTCCGAAACAAAGACAGCCATTGAATTGATCGAAACGAGTGTTGAGTTTTGAGAAAAAGGGCATAATTTACGAGTGCATTCAAACCTAGATTAGATTATTAGCTTGTTTTTCCTCACAAACATTTTCACAATTACTTGTATTTTATTATTATTATTATTATTATTGCCTATTTATATTATATTTTGCGACTATTAAAAGTTTTTATCGTCAAAAAGTTTGAGAAAATGTTTTTTCATTTAAGTTGCGAAAACATGTATAAGTTTTCCGCTTATTATGAATATTTTATTTGTTTGTAAATGAGTGTTGAAATTTAAAATACGCAAACTTTTATGCTGTTTGAATTGAATTTTTGCATACTTTTGTCTGATACAGTATTGCATTACAGTTAAACACAATATTACCTAGCAGGTAGTAATTATCTACTGTTTAATGAGTATTAAAAATTAAATTGTTGTCATATTATGTGATGAGAAGGGGTGACAGGTATTTTCTAAGATTAAGGAGATTTGTTGTGAATATTGGTATATATTTTGTTGGTGATAATTGTTGTCATACATTTAGCATAATATCAGTAGTTATACTTCAATGACAAAAACAAAATAGTGACAAAACCCGGGATAAGAAACTCATGAAATCTGATATCTTGTACGATATCTACAATTTATTGAACTCTTATTTATTAAATTTGCTCAAAAAACGAGATACTATTCATTAAGAGTGAGAATTTCCCACAAAATCGATAGCCAAATCCGAGTGTAGATTTTAGTTTTTATTTATTAACAAATAATTATGACCTAGTTTATGGTAGTCTTTTGGCTTTTTTAGTGTTTAACAAATCGCTAATTAAAGTCCGAACTGTATTTGACGAGAAAAACAAGAATAAGTGTTTTATTTGAGCAAAATTTTGTATCGATAAGAATAATGTATGAAATTATTTGTGAGCGGTTGTAGAGGTAGAGCCCACTCTCTGTCTGTAATAGAAATATGAGATAAAATTATCTGTAATATTATATCCATAATATGAAGTAATGCAAACGGTGTGTCACTACACGTGTCCCAATCAAGGCCCCTATTTATAGGAAAAGGTATTCTTTGCTAAAGACTTCACCGCAAACTTAATTATAAGCGATAGGCCTATTGTTAACAAACCATAATGAGCTGATGATAAGGGGTGGGCATATTCACAGGAAAATACATCACGAGTTGACTATATTTTTAGTATTTTGAAAAAACAAAGTAATATTAGTTTGTACAATGATTTGAAGTGCATTTTCAATGCCATTTTAGTTTGCGTTTCCTTATTATGACGGTATTAATAGCATTGTGTGCATAAAGGATTGACATTTATGCTCCCGGTGTTTGCCATTTCCAATGTACAGTACACTCAAAAAGTGAAGAGGACTTACAGTTCCGATTCTTTCCCATACCTCCCGTACCCAACACTCGTCAGCGCTTTGGCGTTATCTGTTGTTTGGCTGCAATTAAGTTAAAGTTTTTATGAAAGCAAACAATTATGTGTTTAAGATAATAGAGTTTTAATACCAATTGACTGCAATCAAATTCAGCATTTAATACAAACACATGTACAGTATTATAAAGCGAACAGTTTTTGCAAGTTTGTGTAGTTTTTCTGTTATTTCATGTATTAGTCTATGCCTGAGTTCAATACACTAATTAAAAAGAGAGTAATTAAAATGAGTTATCAATTGATTGCTTAATATGTTAAGCTTTGGTAAATCAAGGCATTTTACTTTATACAAATATTATGTTGCATTATTTTAATTTATTTGTATTTAAGCGAAAATATATTTTTCATTAAAGACTTTCTGAACACATTTTATTTATTAGTAATATTTTTTTATTAGACTTATAGATTGTGTAAATTTCTACAAAAATCGTTAATTTAAAAACACACTTTAAAAGTGGGAAAATTAATTTTATTTTTTGTTAGATAATTGTTTCCAATTAATCTATTGTCTAATAAACGTTTGAAACAATTATTGGGAAATCATTTTGTTTTCAAATTCATTGCATAACTTATTTGCGGAGTTATGTAATGATTATTCAATTAAATTCCTGTTTTATATAATTTTGTGAAAATCGACAAAAGGCAGGACTGTTTCTACATTTACTTCAATTAAATATATATCAAATCACTTGTGAGAAGTACATAAATGTACCAGTTTATTAATCTATAACATAGACTATATAATTTACTGTGCGAGTTAAAGTATACTTAATTGAGTCTCTCATTAAATTGCAATCAATTTTGAGCCTAACCTTTACAACGATATATTTTTCCTGAATATTCATTTAGTGATCGATAATATGATAGAAAAGTAAAACTTCATTTCGATAATATATTTTTTTTATCTCAAACTAACTTTTCCTTTAAGTTTTCTTCTTATTCTTGTCTGTAATATGTGTTTAAACCAAATATACAGTTATAATGAATAGGAAAATTGGACACAATTTTGTTTTTATTGGCATATAATTTACATATTGATTATAATCTCGATTCCAATGAACACAACACTACCTATTAATGTCTCATGTAATCTCGCATTAGACAAATGGTCTCTTTTTAAAACTTTTCCATATAATCTGATGAATAATTAAATATAATCTCATTTCTATAAGTACTTAAAAACCTTAACCGTTGAGACGATGCTAAAAAACAGACCCGAAAGCGTTTTATCACACAAATATTGTCCCTATTGTGCACAAGTGGTTCATTAAATTGGCATTAATTCAAATCCATTTTTTTTGGTGTTTCCAATGATTGAAACACGAGTGATAAGAACCTACGAGCGCATATACATAATGTGGTTATCAAATGGAAATGTATGTGCAATTAGTGCTCATAACAGCACAATTTATGCCTTTATTTATGTGACTAAAGGGAGAAAAACATATCCAAGGCTATGGAAATACAGTACAACTCGCGATAATAAGTGCCGATTATTTAACTCACGATTAGTGCCACTGATATGACAGCAGAATATTATGTGTGATTCACAAACCACTCGACGATTCCGATGCGAACGTGACTTTCATTTCCACTCACAGTATGTTATGAAAGGAGTTGTAGTAAACAGTATGACAGACAATACGCGCATCCAATGGTTGTTTGCATGTCTCTGAAGTATGTTTCAGCAAAATTCATTCAAATCAGATGCAGGAATCAAATGCCAAATTTAGAGCATATCGTTTCATATATGTTCTTGTTTAATAAATAGTAAATAGTTGTTTATATAAACAGATGACTGATAAGCAGCAAACAACTTCTCATAAATATAGCGGTTTTCCTAAACTTTTCTGACAACTCTCTTGTCTTTTATTCACTTCTCATGATTTCTATTTTTTATTAGATTTTTAATCGATTAACAAATTAAATTTAGTTTATTCACATATTCTTATAGGTCTTGTAATAAAAATACTGTTATCCGTAATAATTACTATTATTATCGATAAGTATGAGTTATTATTGGAGTCCAAGAGAAATGAATTTTACTGTAATATTGAGTTCGTTTATGGAGTCAAATAAAATTGAGAAAAACTTGTATTGAGGACTACTTCTCAGACAATAATATCCAGACATTGATTATTATAGCGTACGTGAGATTAATAAGTAATAAACTATTTTTAAGTGCTGTTTATAACCCGAGTCACCCATCGTATGATTTTTAACTCTTTTTGCTATTTTCTCTCAAAACTCTTTATCATTAAATGCATTCTGAAGGAGCGTTCAATCGGTGTGTTTCAACACCACGTCCTATCGCTTCTCAAGTGTTCACTAGTTTTGAATCCAATCATTTCTCCCAACCCTCCCTTTCCACCCATCCCTGTGCTGTAGTAGATTTTTATGTCACTTTTTAGTGCACTTTTTACTCAATTGATTTATGAAATAATTAATCTAAAAATTCTGCCATTTTTCGTGATATAATGACAGGCATTGGGAAGCAATCTATGCATACGTTTGACACTTATATTTACATTTCAATTGATTGCTTATAAAATATAATTCTGTGATTTGCTATAAATATATACACAAATCCTGTTATACACTACACCATGCAATGTATTTGAATTTCTAAAATCATCATTTATCACAAGTTCTCTCATGTTTTGGGAATTTAATCTAAAACACGTGTTATTTATTTTATTATTTTTATATAAATAATTATTTATTTAGTGTTTTATAAAATATCATTTGATAATAAAGATGACAGTATTTCATAAGAATTTTTAGACATTTAGTTATGAACCAAAGCATGCAAACTGTTCCCACTTGTGATACTTCACCCAAAAACTATTAATATGCTATAACTGTATCCAATACTTGAGACCTGGGTACTATCTTTATTGTATATGTTTTGTAAATCATTTCTGTGTACAGTATTGTCTGGCATTCATTGACATATCATCCGATCGTTTCCTTACATATCAAATACCGGCAAAAACTGAATCCCAAATCAAATTCACTTTTAAATCAATATTGAATTTAATAAACTTATAAATATTTAAGTTTCACTTATACTTTCAGTCACTTTCATATTTACTTTAAGTGTTTGTAATCTGTTTGTTTGTATATAAAAATGCAAACAATTCTGTAATACAACTAATACTCACATTTGAAGTAAGATATTTGTCTAATCTAAGTTAGGTAGTGTACAGAATTTTCATAAAATTGCAACATTTTTTACACAATAGTTTATATCATTATTTATTAATCCTATATTTAGGTATTTATTATTAAATTATATTTCTAGAGGTTATCTTATTTCTCAATCCTTAAATTAGGGAGAGGGAGGCAGAGAGAGAGAGAGAGAGAGAGAGAGAGAGAGAGAATTGCATAGTTTCGGGGAACTTTTGTAATTATATTTGTATAAATAATATTTGAACGACTCTATGGTATGATGTGATGAGAGCGTAAGCCTTAAACATGAATTTTGTGTCTAATGTATACACAAAACAAGAGATTGTCTGCAAAATGCAATTGTAAACGCATTTAACTTTACAGTTAATGGCAGCGCATATGAACCAACACTCGCGTGATCTCTCCAAAACATTTTATGTATGAATTGATATAAAATAAATATCAATTAAACTAACTTTAGATAAAAGTTTGATTTTGTATTTCTACGTTCATATATAACATTAGTATACTGTATGCGGTTTGACTGTACAGTAGAGTACTAATGATCACATAAAAGGAGTTAATTCTCTATTCATATCCCAACAAATTGATTGTGAAAAACATTCATAACAAGTAAAAACTATAATTTTCTTTTATAAAGTTTGTTTTAAAAAACTTATTTAATTGTATATTTAGTCATCATGTAAGCCACGTTTCGCAAAACCTTTTCTTAATATTATTATACATATGATTAATATTTTCTCTTAAATATAAAATATTATTATTCCATATGTCTGTTGTACTGTATTTATGGAAAAAAGTTTTTATTTTTGTTAAAATTTTCAACTAAACTGAAACTTCATTTCAAAACAGGTTTATCTGAGAATATAGAGAATCTGTTAATAATCACATAATCGTATGCTTTTTATTCATAATATTAAATCAATAAATTAGTGATAATATTCATGAAAATTAAAAACATAAGCCTAGTTATAAACAATTAGTAATATGACATAAAATGATATTTTTCCTTATTTATTCGTCCTTAAGTATTGCTTATTTATTAAACAATAGCTATTATGAAATGGTTGCTCACCATAACTGATATATCTAACAATCATTACTCTAATTAACAGTAATTTGAATTTCACTCAAACAATGGCTAATACTCCAGAAGATGAAGACATTAACATTCAGCGCAAAAAGTCTTCGAGTCGTGTATGTATTGAGAAATTCATTTTCATTACTTGTATTATTATTTTATGATTATATGTTTTAATTTATTTTTAACCCAATTGTGAAATTGTTTGACGTTTCTCTCTCTCTGTTTGTTTGCGATTTTAACGCATAATATGTGTGAATGATTTGCCATATTTTGGTCTTAAATATCACGTTTTTATATCCTATTTCTTAAGTTTATAAACATTTAAACTAACAGTCATTTGATTCACTGGAAGGTAATATTCAAATAAATTCAAATTTCTAATTTGAAATCTGATAAAAGCGAGTTGTGTTGAGATTTTCACTACTGAAGGGATTAATAAGTTATGAAATCATTTATTTGTAAAATAAATTAACGCTTAATTTGAATTTAATTTGGTAGGAATTTTGTCATCACTTGTACATAATAGTTAAAAACCGATAAAATGTGATATAAATTTAGTTTTAAGGTATATTTGTAGAGATAGTATGAAAAAGTGAAAGTTTCGCCCAATCCTTAACCCGACCGCTAATTGTGTGCATTGTTTGACATATATTTCATTGGTTTGGTTGTGTAATGCATGCGTTTGATTTGGTTTGGTTATGGCCTCTGAGGGGACACTTGTGGTCACACTTGAGGCGACAACCGCTTTAATTGTGTTATAAAAAACTTATTGTTATAATATAACTTATATTATAATATAACAATTACTAGTATTACTAATTTGTCGACAAACATCTAATTCGACCCAATTTTCTAAAGCCTTTAACTATTTATTGCTTAAAATATTTCTTAAAATTTTCTGAGAAGTAAAGAAAACGAAGAATTTAGACAAAAATAAATACAATTACACTCTATTTTGCAATTTTCGTACTTATTTAGCAAGCTATTATTGTTGTATTTAGTACTTAATTGAAAACGTATATAAAAATCTAAGCATTCACTCGTATAATGAGATAATAATAAATGAGTTATGTTTGTAAAGTCACGTCACAATTGTAGTGAAATCTGGCAAATATGACAATTCGTTCATAATATGAGGCGATAAGAGAAGGGACAGAAAGAGCCGACACAACACCTCTTGTGGAAAGGGATGTTGTGAACCGAGTGTATGTGACTCGTGTCGCGTACACACTATACTCTACTCACGTTTGTCTCAATAGTATTTCGTGTACTTCTACTGCACTTTAACTCCAAACTTCATATCTTTCTATTAGTGAACAAATAAAATTCACAATCCGTTGACAACACCCATACTCTTAGTACTCATTTTATTTATTGCACACATACCTGTGTGTGTTTTTATGTGATAGTTATGTCAGTTACTGTAGCTGTCCCTCAAACAACCCGGGGCTTGTGTCTAGCATTACATATATTTCTTACTAAGAATTTTAGCACTTTTTTAGATATTCTGTATTTAATATTTCATTAGAAATGAATCATTTATTGTACTAATATAAATGTTGCCCACCTACTGATAGGTTTATTTAATTTTTACATTATTAATAGACTGCAGTTCAGTGCTTCTACTGATCTTACTTAACTGTTTTTGTTTAAGTTTAGAATAAGTTTAATTAAAGTTATGTTAGTTTTTGGTAATTTGATCGGTTTATTACAGTATTCTTATATTCCTAAGAATGAAGCCTCTGGTTAAGAAATATAAGCAATCAACAATATAGAAATGATGTATTTTAGTAATCAATTCATTTTATGTCTTAAAATTACGGATATAAAAAGGTATAAGTCTTGTGCTACACATTTGTCTAAAATTACATTTTATAGTAATTTCCCTATAGTTTTAACAGACTTACTGTAAAAAACATTTTAGATAGAATTAAATTCAGTTCAATAATCCCTGAAATATAAGATATTGTTTATATAAAACTTATATAAAAACAGATATTTTTTAAATGAGTCTTTCAATATAGGGGTTGTTATCTAAAACACATTTTATTACATAATAGCAATGAAAACAAAAGTACACGAAATGAGTAGTCGTGTGGATCACAACGTGATAAAAGACTGGAAGTTTCCTAACATTTGTTGTTTTTTGTCTAAAATTCCCATTTTTCAGGAATATTCTGCAATATATGTAACTGTATATACAATTAATAATAGCTTTCCATTAATAGAATTTTTCAAAATGACCCTCAATTATAGATATATTATTTGATTGCCTTTTATTTACTGTACTGTATTACATTTTCCAATTTTTTACATTCAATCTATTTCACTTTAAATATAATCTTTAATTTTTCCAATATTTTTGTGATTATATTATAATTTCTATAAAATTTGTTATATAATTGTAACATAAATTAGTTATTGATTTATGATTATTTCTGAGGTTTATATATTAGATTAATTCACAAACTTTTATATCTAACTTGTAAGTTATATTGCATATAATTCAATCCCTTATTTAGAAACTAATTATAATGAAGTGTTGTATAGTCATATTATTATATAAATAATAATTTTGGTTTTTGATATGAATTTATTATAATTTTCACAATCTTGTCGTCTGACTAAGTGTTAGTTAACTTAAAAACATTTCAAATTCAATGTCATTATCACTGATTGTGTATATATTATATAAAAATTATTTTCTATCGATGCCTTTGAGTCGACCTCCAAATGCCTCACAAAATCTATTTAAACCCCGAGTTTTGATTCGTTGCCAAATGAAATCCCGACATATTTTACACATTTATTTCAATAAATTATTTTATTACTTAACACACGTTTTATTACATTTAAATTAATTGCACACACACAAACTCGCATCGGCTTTTAAATTTATAACCAATTTATTTATAAGATATCTGACAGCAAATAAATAAATACACTTTGTTTCGCAATTCTTACGGGAATTTAATAAAGCGTGTAGAATTAAATTTTAATTTGTCTTTATTATTTTGCTTAATGTCTCACAAACTAGTGGGACAACACACATAAAATATAAGACAATTACATAATTTGTTTTTTCAATGATTAAGAATTACATTCTGTTGAGAAAAACGTCAAATGTTGTTAACTGTTACGCAAAATCTAAGCGTTTTGTAAAATATTTGCCTAAAAGACTGTTCTGCTAATGACTTACAGAATATTCTTATGAAAACATTACATAAAATTGTAGCAAATAGTTATAATAAATATAAATAAAATCTCGAAATGAGTTCTGGGTTTTGCAATAAAAAGTTATGTAAAAATAATTTACTGTAGATTCTTGTAGTGATAATCAGTAGTTAAATGTTATAAACAATTATCAATTGGTTTATTATCTGCCGATCTTTAGGACCCGTTATCTCATCGCATAATCGAGAAGCGAAGGCGGGATCGGATGAACAATTGTTTAGCAGATCTGAGTCGACTGATCCCAACCTCTTACCTCAAAAAGGTATCAATCGATTGCATTAATAGCCGAATGAATACTTGCATTAAAACGATTGCAGTCATCGTCTCTTCAGGGCAGAGGACGCATCGAGAAGACCGAGATTATTGAGATGGCCATCAAACACATGAAGCACCTCCAGGCGCACAAGTACTGCACCGACGACTCCAAGTGCGACCTCTCCAACACATCCAGTCTGGACGAGGAGGAGAGGGTCAGACAATACCGGTTGGGATATCAGGAGTGTCTGTCTGAAGCCATACGCTTTCTCGTCGAGATGGAGGGTCTGTTCACCGGTGATGGTCTGTGCCGTCGAATGATGGACTACCTTCACAACCATATGTCAACCCTTCATAAAGGTTTGCACTCACAGTATATTCACTCAATTCTTCATTTACTTATTCATGTGTTGTCTCACAAACAGTGAATCAAACGGTCAATGAGTCGGACATTGGTTCGCATCCACTGATAGGCAAATCGCGAACGCCTTCGATGTCTGAGTCGACCACATCTGCCAACGAAAAGATGGACATCAATGACAGCGATATGATCGACACGAAGCCATACCACTCGAAGCCGGTAGTGACGAGTCATTTGCGAGAAATGCTTGAAAGCAGTGCCACATCCAAGTGCTCCTCCAAGTCGTCGCCGCAAATGAGTCTGAGCTCCGGCTCGCCATCCGTTTCGCCAAATGGTTTCAATCCTAACGGCGACCAAAATGTCTATAACTTCAAGAAAGAAATCAAAGACAGATTTCAGGCCAACCAGAAAGTGGTGGCGCCGCCCATGAAGTCGATCTCACCGTCGCTGACCTCCTCGGCCGCCGCCATCGACGACGAGCGCGTCTCCAACTCGAGTCTGTCCTCATTGGCCACTCAGGCCAGCGATCATCGCAGCGAGACGTCCGGCTACTCATCCAACTCGTCCAGCAAATCGTTGCCCACCACCACGTCCTCCAAGTCCCCCGTCTTTGTGCCCATTTTTGCGTTACACCCGTCGGGTAACTATTATCTGCCGCTAACAGTGGACGCCGCCCTCATTGGCCCACAAATTACCGCCAAAGACACCGAAATCAACTCATACCCAGTCCTACATCCAATCAATATAACCGTTAACTTCAGTTACCAAACGCCACAACTGCCGGCCCCTCTTGATTACAGTCAACCACCAGTCTGGCCGCCAATGGTTGTCCACTCGAGCCTCGGTCTGTCGGCCCAACAGATGACAAACTCGATGACAAATAAACTTCATTTTAATAGCAGTTCTTCGCATTCGGGAAGTGATGTCAAAATAGACCCCATTTGGCTGAACTCGTATCCAAAGTTTAGTCGATTGTCAAACAAAATTAAATGATTTCTATTTAATTGTTATTATTATTGTCCAAACAATTAACGAATTGTTTACAATTTAATGTAATTTTGATCTAATTTTGTATAAATTATATATACGTTTTTAATGACAGTTTTATTTAATTAATTTGTAAATAAAAGCATGAATTATAAGTCTTTATATTTGAAAAAATGTTTAATTTTTATAAATTTTGTTGAGAAAAAATGGTTTGAAATAAACTTAAAGTTTCGATTCAATTTGTGAATTTTTAATATTGTTTGCCTGAATATATGTTAACACCGGTATTTGTTTCACTTTTTCTCAAACGTTTAATTGATTACAATTATTTTGAATTTTTTCTAGATTACAAGATTGAGTTTCCCAAAATATTCTGAACATTAGTGTATTGTAGCTTATACTGTATTATAAATAATCTAGATTCTGGAATAAACGTATGAATTTAGACCAGTTGTAAAGGGATTATATTTAACAATCAACAAAATAATTATCACTTATCATTAGTTTTTATAATGAACTTTAAAGTCAAATAATATGATTATTAATATGCATGCTAATTAGGCCATAAGTGAGCTATCACTTCAATGAATATTATAAATTATACAGTAAAAGCCTGAGTAATTTGTTAACTTAATACAGTAATACAGTAAACTTTACTGAGTAAAGTAATCATATTATTTGACTTTAAATTTGTGCACTATACTGTAATTTATATGACAATAGTATTTAAACTTAAACTTTCCAACATATTTAGTTACAAATTGTAAGAATTGTAACTTACAATCACCCACCTCTTGCTGTACTGCAAACCTTTACAATTATCCAAAATCTTATTGTCTTATTGTGTTATTTAAATGATATTGTAATTTCATTTTATTATTAATTTTTCATTTATTAACCTTTTTACAAACCAATGATTTCTATTAATTAAACAAATGGTTGGCTATAATTGTAAACGTTTTATGAATGTCTCATTCATCGGATCTTTGGTGCGAGAGTTCACATGTGATTATTGTCTTCATGTAATGAACAATCCAGTGGTCACTCAATGCCAACACCACTATTGTCTCGATTGTATTGTCGAGTGGCTTATGATCAGCGACACCAACAATTGCCCTCAATGTGACCAATCGCTTACTACAAGGAGTAGGTTCAGAGATAATATGGATATGGATCAAGTGATTCTAATTGGCGAAGATATTCTGGTACAAAGGGACCAAAGGATTAACAATATAACCTCTAAATGGAGAATAAGATGTGATTATCATTGGAATGGATGTCAAGAAGTGTTTCCTTTGGAAGAGCTATCAACTCATGTAAAGACCTGTTCACACAATTGCTGCCAAATATGCGGTCTTTCTGTTGGACTCACTCCCGAAGATCACAACTGTTTGAAGAGTAATGAAGTGAATGATAGTCTGAATGAGAAGGTTGTGGACAACCATTTCATGCCTCAAAAGTCTACAGAAAGTGAAATCTATGCAAACGGATGTGAAAATGAATTGAATGTTTCGGAGGAAATGAGCGAAGATTTGGTTGATATCGAGACCGAAGAGTCACAGTTTTGGTCTATTGTCTCCATCTGAGTCCTCATTCAACAGTTTTAGCACTTATTGAAGTAGTAATAATTGAGTGAAATTAATAATTTAGATAATGACTGAACAAATAAACCAAACTGTCTTTAAATAGGATTTTAAACCATTTATTAAATGTTGGAAAATTAAATGTAAAGTTAACATGTGATTTTTAAAAATTTTAAATGTTATAAATTTTTTTATCTATCTTAATTACTGTATACTATACTTTATTATTGTGGAGTTTTATAAAAGTGAATTTGAATAAAAATATTTTCTAGGTTTTATTAATTGTGCTTTCAGTGTTACTACAATAATTTTCTAATACTATAAAATTATAATTAATTAAATCTAATATAATTAAATTGAATACAAATTAACTATAATTGTGATTAAAAATAATAGTCAACTAAAGTGTCAATGTTTGGCACTAAAAGTTTTGTGTGTTGTTTGAGTAATTGGTGCCAAAGTGTGGTATTATTTTGATTGTCACCAAAGAAAGACTGCCAATAACTTGGATCTAATTCGGGGCGATTGTCTTCATCGAGTTCTTCGACAATACCAATGGTATCGCATCCGACATATCTATTCGGAACAATACAGTCGTCATTAAAGCTGTCGCCGATATGAAGACATTTGGGATCAGTTTTGTGACACTCTTTGGCCGCAAATGCTTTCAAATCATTCCAATTGCCGTTTGCGTAGATTTGTCCGCATTTCAACTGATCCACAGACACTTTGGCACCAAAATTATCATTTGAATCAATGGCCATAAACGGGCGATCAGTCGTGAAGAATGTGGGTTTTCGGGCCATTGTGAGCACAAAATCAAAACAACTGATCCATTGGTCACCGAACGAGTACTTCATGACAGACTTCATGATATCCGCATTGGATGAAGTGATTAGGAAAACTAATTTTCCGTTTTTACGTAAATCTAACAATATTTGTATGACTTGTTTGGATGTTTTGAAATAATATTTGTCTGGATTTGAGTTGAATTCATATCCGACGGCAGACTTCAGCCCATTGTCTCCATACATGACAATCATTGCATCGAAAATATTTCGCCAAATCTCTTCATAGTTGCCATTCAGTGGCGAATCAGTGGTCTGTTTGTCCATCACTTCAACAGTTTTGGCGAATATTTGTATAGAAGGAGTGGAGAAGTAGTCTCTTAGGACATAGAACTCGAATCCAGGAGTTGTGGCCAATGTTCCCGAGTTTAAAAGATCCGGCAGTCGTTTGAGTTGTTCTCTACAGAGACTGCCATAGATTTCTTGGACATAGTCTTTATTGAGATCTTTGAATCCATGTTTTGCGACCATTATTCCGAAATTTGAATCCAATTTTAGTATATTTCCGCGAACTTTGTCGATAACTAACCCCTTTTGACAATATTTGGGACAAAATTCTTCGCATATTTCTTTGGGATAATTGTATTTCTCGACCAAAATTTGTTGAATTATTTGATGAATGAATGACAAACTATTCTTGAGGTTATACTTCAGTAAAGTGTTGTCCATATCTAAAGCTATTAAGTCATAAGAGTTTAAATTCATTGTATTTGATAAAACCTTTTTTGAATACATATTAAATAGTGAAAGTTTTAAAACACAATTTAAAATTAATTCAAAATTTATAATAGTAATACACAGTATAAATACGGGTTATAAGACTACTTTAAAAAGTGTGTAAGTGAGAATCTAATGAATATTTTTAAACATATAATCAAAAGTGATGATTAAATTGGTTTCAAAACCTTGAGATTAAAATTGAATTCAAATTTGGGAATAATGGTCGCAAAACATGGATTCAAAGATCTCAATAAAGACT